GCTTCTGAATACCATCTGGCCGAGGGGGAGGATCTCGTTGCCTCTCTGTGAAGCTGCAGGAGGAAGGAGTTGGCGACACCAGTACTTTTCATCCGAAGTAAACTACGGCTAGGTGCAATGATCATGGGACTAGGGGGCATACCCCTGCCAGAGACTGCTAGTCTGTCAGCAAGTTCGTTCCCTCTGATGCCAATGTGGCTAGGGACCCAATTAAGGATGATTCTTCTACCCTGAGCCAGTATTCTTTGGGCTATTGTTAATATTGTGGTCAGGAGGTAGATATTGTCTTTGGGTGAGCTGAGCTTGAGAGAGTCAATGGCTGCCCTAGAGTCAGTGTGAATGACTACGTGTCCTCCCAAAGGGGACGCGTGGGCTAGGGCTTCCATGATCGCAACGGCCTCTGCCTGTAGCGAGGAGGCGTTGTCTGATACCCTCATGGAGCGCATGGCATCCCTTGCTGCAAAGCCGGCGCCTGCAGTGTGGTTGGCTGGATCGACCGATCCGTCCGTGTAGTAAGTTCTACTACCCGGGGGGGTGATGGCTGATATGACCCTGTAGGTCTCTGCCTTTAGACCAGGCGTGGGATATTCGGTCTTTTTGAGCGCTAATCTCATGACCGAGAACTCTATCGAATTTTGTGCCCACGGCAGGGCTTCGACAAAGTCAGGGTGGGGGGAGTCCATGCCCTTGGTCAGGAGCTGCTCTTTGAGCTCAAAGCTTATCAACACCCTGGCTGTGTGGGACAGCCACGTGTTGTTGGCAAAGAGCTCGTTGTCTTGTTCCAGGCGTCTGGCTAATTTTTCTCTTAGGCTCGTGTTCCTGGGAGCCTGGAGGACCTTTGCAAAGAAGTTGGCTGCCATTTGATCGATTCGTGAGTCCAGGGGGAAAAGGTTGGTCTCCATCAGGAGGTTGGGAACCTTTGACCACCTCGGGGCACTCAGAATGATTCTGGCAGCTTCGTTTTGGACTGTTTCCAATTTTTCTCTGTATTTTTTCTTTCTGCCAATTAGGGCGACTGAGGCGTAGTCCACAATGGGCCTGACAGCATGTACGTAGAAGGCTCTTAGTACTTTGTGTCTGGCTCCTATGCGTCTCCCAGTCATTACTCTCATGACGTTCAGTCTTGCTTTGCATCGGTCGACCAGGTACTTGGTCTCCTGCCGGAAGGAGAGGGTCCGGTCTATCCATACCCCAAGGTATTGGAACACCGGGACCCATTCCAAGTCTACTCCCTGGATCCTCAGACTTGTGCCTTGAACTCGTTTTCCCAGAGCCATGGCCTTAGATTTGGCTGCTGAGATCTTAAGTCCCGTCCTGCAACACTCCTCGGACACAAGGTCCAGACAACGCTGGGCTTTACTTAGGCATTGTGTCCCAATGGCGGTGATGGCGAGATCGTCCGCATACGAGACGATCTTGCATCCCGACGGGAGGTTCATGTTGAGGATACAGGACATGAGTACGTTAAACAGGGTTGGACTGAGAACCCCACCCTGCGGTGTCCCATTTTCCAGTGGCAAGTGCTGCGATAGGTGACCCTGGAACTTCACTCTGGCAGTTCTGTTCCTAAAGTAGTCACCTATCCAAGCCAAGAGCTTTCCTCGGATTCCCTTCTGGGCCAGGGCCTCCTGAATAGCAAGAGGGCTTGCTAGTTCAAAGGCCTTTTCCAGGTCCAGGAATACTGCCACGGCTGAGGTTGTGCTCACTGTGCTCAAGAGCGTGGCTATGCTGTGTGCAGTGCTCATACCCCTGGTGAACCCGTGCAGGTGTTCGTGCGGGGGTCCCATTTTCCACAGGAGCCGGTTCAGTACCATCCTCTCGGCCGTCTTGGCCAGACAGCTGAGGAGGGAGATGGGGCGGTAATTCCCCGGTTCCTTGGCTTTTGGGATGGGAACTATGGTAGCCCTCTTCCAGCTCTGCGGTACAGAGGAAGATTCCCAGGACTTGTTGATGAGCTGCAAGAGTGCAAGTTCACCTTCACGTCCTAGGCGGGAGATAATGGGATACGTGATCCCATCAGAGCCCGGGGCTGTATTTGAACTGAGTTTATATGCTTTTCGGAGTTCCCTCAGAGAAAAAATAACGTCTGAGTTATCGGCTTCGGCTGCCCTTTCTCTGATCTGAGCAAGTCTGTCTGCTTTCAGGCTTTCTTGTTTGGCCCTCAGCTCAGCTGGTAGACTGTTGATGCTTGTTCTCTCAGAGAACTGGTGCACCAGTCTGTTTGCCTCTGCTTGAGGGTCGTAGTGCGTTCGTCTCGGGGCTGAGCGGCTGGTAGCTCGCCTGACCCGTTGCCACAGCTCTGAGACGGTGGTTTGGTGGCTGAAGGACTCACACCATTCCAACCATGTCTCCTGCCTGACTCTGCTGGCAGTTTCCTTGGCATCCCTGACAGCCTCCCTCAGCAGTGCGAGGTTGTCGGGGGTTCTTTGCCTTCGGAACAGTTTTCGGCACATGTTCACCCTGTGGTTGACCTCCCTGATCTCGTCGTTAAAGTACCAGGCGTCCTTGTGACGCCTGGACCCGGGCCGAGTTCTGGGTATGGTCAGTGAGGCTGCTTGGTTTATGGCTTGTACCAGTCTGGCTTCCAGCACATCCACGTTTTCGGCTTGTGTGGATTCGTTGCCTCTCAGACAGTGAGCCAAGGCGTTCTGAAATGCCTGCCAGTTGGCCTTGTCTGTTTTCCATCTTGGATTCGGTCGTGGGATTTCGGTTGGGCCTGCGTCCATGAGGGTGGTTACCGTCCCAAAGTGGTCGCTTGTGACAGTCTCATCAACACACCAGCTAATCCTGTCCACCAGAGTCGCAGTGACCAGGGTGAGGTCTAGTACCCCACCGCCGACATGCGTTGGCTCTCTGGTGTTGAGGAGAGCGATCTCGGGGAACGTCTCCAGCACGCTGGCTATGTGGAGGCCAGTCGCATCCGGTCCCCGGCAGGGAGCTAGGATGGGATGATGTGCATTGAAGTCTCCCCCAATGATCACTCGGTCTTGTGCAGCAGACGCACAGACCTGGCTAATATCTAAGCTACTACAGCCTGGCCGGTTGTACACGTTGTACAGTTTGAGGGGGCCCACGGCCAGGTGGATCTCTACGGCGAGAGATTCTGTCTCTTCTCCACAGTGCGGTGCATCGGCTATTGCGGAGCAGGGGATTGTTGCTTTGACAAGGGTGATCAGGCCTCTTTTGCCAGGCGTTTGTGGCAGCGTGAACGCGTGATACCCTGTGAAGCGAACAGTGTCCGCCGTTCGTGTCTCCTGGAGCATGACAACGTCGATGCTCCTTGATCGCACTACTGCTTGGAGCATGGCATTCCTTCCGGAAAAGCCATTTATGTTCCACTGTAGGATGCTTAGATTGTGTACAATGATGTTACTAGTCGATAGTTACATCTGAGACCCCGTCACAATCCGACCCCAACATCGCGAAGTCCTCTTCGGCTGAGAGTTCTTCGTCTGAAGTCAGGTTAAAAGTGGGTCCACTGGGGGGTGGAGAGCCTTTGGTAGCTTTGACTTTGGAGGCTTTGGCTTTTCTCGCAGGCCTGTCTGCACTTCTTTTGGCTGGCCTTGCCGGGGCAGGCTCAGCACGTTCTGGCTCTGGCTCTGCAGACTCGGCCTGTTGTGGCTCTGCCTGCGATGGGCTTGCCTGGGTTGGAGCTGGGAGGGGAGTCTCGTCCTGAACAGAGGCAGACGCTGGTTGTGCTTGGGCCTGCTTCCTGCCTTTCAGGATCGCGACAGTTTTGGTCATTGCCGTCATGGCGACCGTCACTGCCTTCTCCGCCTCTTCCCTTGTCCTCCCTAGGGCTGTCGCCACTGCTGTCACCACAGCAGTCACGAGCAGAGTCATGTCTGCCTTGTCAAAGAGATCGTCATCTCTTGACGAGGGCTTTTCTGCCTTCTTAGAACCTTTCTTCCTTTGGTTCTTTTTCTGTTTCGGCATGTCCGGAAACTCCGTTGGGTTGGAGACGTCCGGTGTCGGCTGTGGGGCGGCCTCCTTCCTCTTAGGAGGTCGGGAGGCCTTTTCACTTTTCTTCCTGCCCCACACATGAGTGCCTGGGGGGGCAGGAATGAAATCGGATCGCTTCTCAGCAATCTCTTGTCGCTTGAGGGCCGCCTCTTTCCTGACAGAGCAAGTCAGGCTCCAGGCGTGATGCCTCTTGGCGCAGTTGGGACATTTGGCTGTTGTCTCCTTTTTCTCTTTGTGGGCCGTGAGGCATACCTCGGTGTTGTGTGCCTTACTACAGACACCACATTTAGGCTTGGCTGTGCACTTAGCCTGGTGGTGACCGTATTTTTGGCACTTGAAACACCGAAGTGGTTCAGGCACATAGGTCCTCAGCTTGTAGGTGCCCCAGTTACCCAGATCAAGGGTAGCGGTTGGGGCACCTTTCAGTGTCACCAGGACTTGCCTGGTTGGAGTCTTCCCTACTGTCATTCGGGAAGCCTCCACCACCTGAGGATGCGAAGTGATTAGCTCCACATCGTACGAGACTGAGAAGCCAAGTAGCACCATCTTTGTTCTCTTATCCTCGGGCGTTAATGGGGAAAGACTCACTTTTCTCCCATCTTTAAGTTCCCTGATTTCCTGAAGGAAGTTCTGGGTGGCATGATCTTTCGGCACTATGATCATGCCCTGGTCTTTGGCAACTCGGATTGAGAGCCGGATCTGCCTGTGCAACTCCAATGCTCTGACCAACTGGTAGGCATTGTCGAAGCCTTCAGGTTTGGCTGGGACCTTGAACTGGGTGAAGCGACTTTTGCTGGGTCCAGACTCTCCATCAGAGTCTGTCTCCGGCCTTGGTCGCTTCGGTGCGCCCTTTCGGCTGGGGGGCTTGTTCGTGGGGGCAGCAGCTGCTGGTTCGGCTGGTCCAGCGCGAGAGTCCATCTTTTTCACCATTTCATGGACTAATCCACCATCTGGAACCAGGAATGGTTCCAGGGTGCTTGCCGTGGTCTGGGCCTTGCATGGGTCGTGGGGGGGGGGGGGGTTATTTAATTTTTCCATTAGTTAACATTTTGAATCAGTAGGTTCTGGAAAACAATAGGACACCAAATCCTCTTGAACTTATCCTTTCCTTCTTCTAGGTACATTGACAGGATGTAGCAGTCCTCTCCATTATTCCTTTTAATCCTTTCAGCACAATATATGGTATAGTTCCCAGGATCAATTTTGAGAATGGAGACCGGAGCCGGAAGTAGAGTCTCCTTAATCTGCCAAGCAATCCTATCTGTAATCAAGCATGAGATGGATTAGTTTTATATGCTCCAGCAGTAGTTTCAGGGAGTGGCGTTGGTATGTAACTACTTAAGTTTGTACTATGCCAAGTCTCCCCGTACTCATCAATATAAAACTTTACAATTAAAGAAGTCTCTAATTCTATGGCACAGTGCTGCTTTAGCTCAGGCATATCCGGTCTCTTTATAATTGATAAGAAAGTAGTAGGACCTGGGATCTATCCAGTCATGTGCAGTTCCCCAGAAATTATCTGTATTCCAGGTTGCTACTTTATAACCAATTGCATTTCCATCAGTAGCTGGATCACATGTTGGTAACAATCTTGCCATTGGCGTATCATTCTTAATCATTCTCTTTAGATCTGATGGATCTGGTCTGTAGCACCGTGAATCTTTTAACACAGTCTTATTATAAACATCTCCTGGAACCTTAATAGAAGGCTTCCACCTTGCAATACTATTATATCTATCTCCAGTTAATTGAACCTCCTCCAGCATTGCACAATCTAAATGTCTATCAATTGCTGTAACATCATCACTTGGTAAGTTACACTCTGTCACATCTGATGTTTCTCCCATATAAATTTTGATGTCACCATGTTGTTTCTTAATTTCAGTTGCTTCTCCAACTTTTATCTCTGTAGAGTGTTGCCCCTCTACAAACTTCATTCTCCATCCAGCATGAACAATTTGAGCTTTTTTACTCAAAGTACAATAGTGATCATATACTTTCACTTCATTACTTTTCGATGGGAAATAGAAATCCATAGGTAAATCCTGCACCAAGTATATTTTTCCATCATCAATTGTGAAATAATATTTATTACTAAATACACTCGCCAGCTTCTTCCTTAGGTTACTCTTAACCTCCAATGTAGCACTTTCACCTGATTTTAACGGATTCTTGAAAATAGCTTTATCAAAGGTTATTCCCATTGAGTTTCCAATGGACTCAACTGTAAATAGAGAAAATATATAAATTAGATACACATATTAAATGTATAATAATAAATTAATTAAATAAAAATAAAACTAAGTATAATTACCTGTTCCCTCTTCATTTTCAATATCTCCAACAGCTCTCCTCTTTCTAGAAGATCTCTCGTCTAGCGTGACGTCGGCCCGTGGAGTGTAAGGTGGAGTTTGGTAAGACATTTTCTTTAAGTCCGTGCGGCTTCACTTCACTGACAAGTGCACTCAACCTCTCCTCGTTCAAGAGTAGGAATCTCTGCACGACCTCCTCGTCTATATATGGCTCGGTGTCCTCAGTTGCCAGTACTCGCTTGAACTCATATTTGAATATCCGGTTCAGAATACTGGTCTTATCTTCTCCTTCTAATCTCTCTGTAATGTCTCTGTTTGTAGTAATAATCCATGGTATATTAGGTATCTCCTGGTGATCTGAATGTTTCACGTCAGTTTCCATTGCCTCTCCTCCTAGTAGGGATTTCCAATTCATTCTCCATCTGAAGCCACATTTCATGGCAATTCTTCATTACCGTCGACCAGTATGGACCATAAATCCTAAACATGTTCATCTTTTCATGTGGAGGTATTTTGTTCTTGATCTGTCCAGGAGCCAGTGGTCTATACTTTTCAAATAGACTCACACATTGGTCTAGTTGTTGGTCATAGTTCTTCACCTTATATTTCGTTGATGTTCTCTGACTCAATTACTCCCTGATATTGTTGGAGGAATTCATGCATTAACTGAAGTCCACCATTATAGTGGGTCCAGCATTCTCGGATACCCGAGCGGCTAAGGTATATGGCAAATTTGTGGGGATACCTGATCTTGATAAGGCTTGCTTTAGCAATTGCAGTTTGGGTCTCATTGAGGTTAAGTGATTGAGCAATTCTGTCCATGGATGTGGATGTGGATGTGCTCTCGATCAGTTCCTCGTCCATGTCTGGCATAGGAGAATTTACATTTTGAATTTCTAACTGGTCTGACGTCTCGTCCGTGTACGACGAATGAGTAGATGTTCTCCCATTGTTCCTCGTTTCCACTTCCTGACTCATCTGATCGTTCACGTCCCAATCTTGCATCATCTCCTCTATTTCTCTCATTTCCCCTGCTAGTTCCTGCTCTAACCCCTGTTTCCTCTTCTCCTTGTTCATGAAGAACATCTTCCGTGCGTCTTTCGCTGATTCTGCCCGAGTCCGGAACATCCTTCTCCTTTCGTCCGATAGTTCCCCCTTGATGAATATTTGACATATTCTCTTTCCTACGTTCCATTCCGTGTTCATTGGAAGTAGTAGGTGATCTGGATCTCTTATCCTTCCTAGTATTATCATCCTTACATCCACTTCTACGTTCTCCTTCCTCAACGAGTATATCCCCTCCACCTGATTGTAGATGAACTTCTTCATTTTCGTTGGCTCCTGGTTGTTCTTCTCTTTCCATCTTAATAACACTCTTATGAAGTTCTCCCTTATTAGTCTCGATGCACAGTTCATTAGAGTCACTGTCAGTGATAATGATGATCGGTGGATCAGTACACTTGGATGTAGAGTGTACAGAGGTTCTGGAATGTTCTCCATTGTCAGTTGATTCATTTCTTGTTGTAACTCTTCTATCGTCGCTCTTTCTAAATTTTCTACTGGGAACTGAATCGAATAGTATCGTCCACTCATCTTCGCTTGATTTTCTAGAGTCACTACTCTCTGCGCACTGATGTGGAAATTCAAGGCTTCTCCTTGCTCCTGTGGAGAGTCTTCTCTGTTTTCCTCCCCAGAGTTCTGCTCTTGTTCTCTTTCTTCTAATTGTTGGTTCCTTTTCCTCTCTTCTTGGAGTCTTGTTCTTTTTGCAACCGGTGTTTCTGTTGCTCCCTCCTGGACTCTTTGTCTTTTTACCTGATCCTCTCGTGGGACTTCTATTTTCTTTCTCTCGTTGTCCAGTCCTTCCAGTCCCGCCCAAGCTCCTTTCTGTGTTCTCTTCTTCAGACTGTCCCATATACTTACTATCCTGATATTGCTCTCCCTCCAATAATTCAATGTTCTTCCGTATTCCCTTAATTCTGTCACTGCTCTCTCTAGTCCCGGGAATAAATTCTGCACAGTCCTCACCCATGGTCGATCTTGTGTAACTCCTCCTCGGACTGGTAGATCTATATAGGCTTGATAGTAATTCATTACTCGGACTATCCATTTTATCGTCAGTCTTACTGAATCCGCTGTACCTACTCGGAGTTGTCGATGTGCTTCCCGGAGCAAGAACGATGCCGTCGTCTGGGGATCGTAGTTCGCTGGATCGTAATGTCTCAAGTGACCTGCAAATTCCTCCAATAATCTGTTCTCCTCCGCTGTCGGACTTGTCCTTCTCACTAACTCCAATGATCGAGGCTCTCTGGTTTTTGATGTGGAATCCGATGTTTCGTGGGTCTGTGTGTGCTGGAATACTTTTTCCCGGAGCGAGTTGTGCACACTCATCCCAGTATCCATCTCTCGGTTCATAATAATCCGGTTCAAAGTCTGGATATTTTCTGAATACACTCTCCCACAGTTCTTCTAATTTCTGATTACTTGCACTTCCTCCTAAAAATAAAAAAAAAACAAAGTTAATAATACTCAACAATTTCTCTTAACTTCCTATGCCCCTTCCTATCCATCACAAGTTTACTTAACTTCCTCAACTCCCTCCCTTCAATCACAACTTTACTTAACTTCTTAATCTCCTTTCTTTACTTACCTTTTTCAATCTCCTTATTTATCACCTCCAATATACTTTGCAATTGCTTATCATTATCCATTGATAAGTATATTGCATATGGATGCACAAAATATACACTTTTGCTTTTGTTCGCCTTCCAAACGAAAATTTTAAGTAATAGTCTTCCGAAGCGTCCCTTCTTTAAACTGGTAGTAATCCCCACCGTCCTCCCTTATATACCCGTCCCAGGTGGGGTAAGACAAGGATCCTTAGGATCCGCTAAAAAAAAAAGTTCCTTATTAATAACTTATAATAATTAATTATATAATTTCTAAGTTCAATCTCACAAGATTTATTTCTAACTTCCTAATCCGCTTCCTCATAACTTTAGTCTCTATTCCTTTTCCGCTTCCTCAAAACTTTACTCTGTATTCCTTTTCCGCTTCCTTTACTTACCTTTATCAATTTCTTCGTTGATAAGTTTAAGTAACTCTTCAATTTTGGTATCACTCTCCATAGGTGCACTCGTGGATATGTATAAGTCCGCGATAGGGCTTCTCTACAAGGGAACTCTGGCCGTAATTCACCTTCCCAAAAAATTTTAAACTAAAGTCCTTCCCTACCGTCCCTCCCTTATATACCCTTCCCAGGTGGGGTAAGACAAGGATCCTTAGGATCCGCTAACTAAGTTAACTTTTCTTACCCCACCTGGGAAGGGTATATAAGGGAGGGACGGTAGGGAAGGACTTTAGTTTAAAATTTTTTGGGAAGGTATCTCTACCTAGAAAAAAAAAAAAAATCTCTAAGTATTTATATTATTATTATATAATATAAGTCCGCGATAGGGATTCTCTACGAGAGAACTCTGGCCGTAATTCACCTTCCAAAATAAATTTAATACTATACTTCTTCCCTACCGTCCCTCCCTTATATACCCTTCCCAGGTGGGGTAAGACAAGGATCCTTAGGATCCGCTAACTAAGTTAGCTTTTCTTACCCCACCTGGGAAGGGTATATAAGGGAGGGACGGTAGGGAAGAAGTATAGTATTAAATTTATTTTGGAAGGTGAATTACGGCCAGAGTTCTCTCGTAGAGAATCCCTATCGCGGACTTATACATACACCCAAGTGCACTTATGGAGAGTGATACCAATCTTCATGGATTACTAGAACTTATCAACAAAGAAATAGATAAAGGTAAGTGAAGGAAGTGGAATCGGAATAGAGAGTGAAGTAGTGAGGAAGTGGAAAGGGAATAGAGACTGAAGTTGTGAGGAAGCGGATTAGGAAGTTAGAAATAAAATATGTGATATTATATAATAATAATATAAATACTTAGAGATTTTTTTTTTTTTTTTCTAGGTAGAGATACTGATACCAAGAGGCTAGACCAACTGTGGGACATAGTCTACAACGGTTACCCAGACTTTGAACCCCAACACTTTACACCAAGAGATGGATACTGGGACGAATGTGCACAAATCCCTGAGGGAGAAAGTATTCCATGGCACACAGACCCAAGAAACTATGGATACTACAAAAAACAACAACAATCCAAGGGAGGAACGATCAGTAATCCAGGTGGAGAACCGACAGATTGTGAATCGGACACTACAGACATTGGCGAGGAACTTCCACCTCTACGATCCAGCCAACTACGATCCGAAGACAACGATCCCATACCTACTGAACCAAGCCCATCAACAACTGGACAACGGAACAGCGGACAGTGTTCGCCTAACCCTGAAATGGATACAGAGAGTAGCCAACTATTACCAGAACTATGTAGATCACCCTCATCACGGAACAATAACACAAACAAGACCTTGGATCAGGTTTGTTCAGGACAAGATACCAGGACTGATAAGGGCAGTGGACGAATTGAGAGAGTACGGAAAGACACTACAAGGATGGAAAGGCAGCCTGGACAGGATATCAGCAACATGGAATTACCTAAAACAACATTCAAGGTACGGAGCCTGGGGAAACCTAGAACACCTAGACAAGGAACTCCACATGGTGGAAGTACCGAGGGAAGACCAGGTGAAAAGACCCCTAGTCCCGGAAGACAATACCGAAACACCGGTGGCAAAGAGAACTCGCCTACAACAAGAAAGGAGACGGAACCAACAATCACCAGAAAGAGAAAGAGACCAGAACTCTGGACAGGAGGAGAGTCAGGAAATCAGCCTCGAACAGCAAGGAGAAGAATTAAATTTCCATTACGCAGCCCAACAGAACGTGAGACTGGACAATCAAGCGATGATGAATGGCAGATACTACTCAATACAGTACCCAGTTACCAACCTCCAGGAGAACATAATATCAGATCTGAAGGAAGAGATGATGACTTTGACAATGAACAATATACCAGAGCCACTCTATCTACTACACCCGAGTGTACTTCTCCACCTCTCATCATCCTCGACGACGATAACACTGATGAACAGTGCATCCAGGATAATAAGAGAGAACTTTATACAGAACCTAATGAACTGGAGCCAGAGACACAATCTGATACCAACGAAATTGAAGAAATATATATTCAATCAAGTGGAGAATCTGTACCACCTCAGACAGGAGAACCTACAAGAAGACATGAGGACAATAATACTAGGAAGACAGGACGACTCAAGATCATTACTGATGAACGATCAATCACAATGGCACCTAGGAAAAAGAAGATTCCAGCTATTTATACAAGGTCAGATATCAGACGACAGGAGGAAGATATTCCAACTACGAGCAAAGAATGCACCAGCAGCTCGAAAACTGTACTTCATGAACAAGGCAAGGACAAAGAGAAGGCTAGACCATTAACAGAAGAAGAACATGATATGGTCTACAAATTTGTAAGCATTATTGAAAGAAACAACATCAAATTTAAGGACTTCATTGCTAAGTTCTGCTATGTATTCAACGGACTGAATTCAAAAATCCACGGTTTCGTCATCCAGGGTGTGAGTAATGCAGGAAAGTCGTTGGTGGCAAAGATCCTGTTACACAATCTCCACCCAACAAAGATTACAAAGAACTCGAGCGGGAACAACTTTAGATTCTCGAGGTTGCCAGATAGCAATTGTGTCTTGTGGGAAGAAGCCAGTATACCATCAACTGAGGTAGACCTTTGGAAATCCATATTAGGAGGAGAAGCAATGGAGACTGACGTCAAGCACCAAGATCATCAGGAAATACCCAACATTCCTTGGATTATAACAACAAACAGAGAAATAACAGAACGTCTTGAGGGAGAAGACAGAGCCAGTATCTTGAACCGGATCTTCAAGTTTGAATTTAAAAGAGTATTGGCAACTCAAGACACCGAGCCCTATATAAACGAGGAGGTGGTCCAACGGTTCTTACTCCTGAACGCGGATCGTCTGACTCAACTAGTGAACAAAGTGAAACCCCACGGACTTCAGGATGGCTTACCAGACTCCACCTTACACCCCCAACAAGAGAGACATCCTCCCAGACGAGACATCTTCTAGAAAGAGGAGAGCTGTAGGAGATGCCGAAAATAATGAAGGAACAGGTAATTATTAGTTACTTTTATTTATTATTTATATAGTTATATATATATATTACTATATCTAGTTGTTATGTATATATATTAATTATATAATATATCTCTTTCAGTTGAGTCAATTGGTAACTCAATGGGAATTACATTTGATAAGGCCATCTTCAAGAATCCTTTAAAGTCAGCTGAGAGTGAAGTTTTAGTGATCAAGAGTAACCTAAGAAAAAAGTTACCATCTGTATTTACTAACAAATATTACTTTACTATAGATGATGGAAAAGTATATTATATTCATGATTTACCTATAGATTTTTACTTTCCATCAAGTAGTACTGAGGTTAACCAATATAATCATTTATGTACTCTAAGTAAGAAGGCACAGATCATAAATGCAAGTTGGAGAATTAAGTTTGTAGAGGGTCAGCATTCTACTGAGATTAAAGTTGGTGAGGCTACTGAAATTAAGAAACAACATGGTGATATTAAGATCTATATTGGAAATACACTTGATGTTACTGAGTGTACTCTACCTACTGATAATGTACCAGTTGAGGATAAAAATGTAGATGCTGCTGTAATGGAAGAGGTTGCTCTAACAGGTGACAAGTATAATGTAATTGCAAGATGGAAGCCAGCTATTAAGGTTCCTGGTGACTTTTATAATAAGGATGTTTTAGTAAAGTCTCGATATTATAAGCCTGATGCATCAGACCTCCAGAGAAAGAATGTATCAGGACATATATTAGCAAGACTACTACCAACTTGTGATCCAGCTAATGATAAAAGTGCCATAGGATATAAGACTCATAATTGGGATAATGATAACTTTACGGGAACTGCCCATGATTGGATAGATCCCAGGACTTCAAGTCCAACTACATTTATGACTATTATAAAACGACCGGATATGCCAGAACTAAAACAACATTGTGCTATTGAGCTAGAGACTTCTTTAGCCGTTAAATTCTATTTGGATGAATACAGAGAAACTTGGCATACAACTAATTTGAGTAGTTATATTCCTACTCCTTTACCAATGACAACTGGTGGTACATATAAAACTAATCCAAGTCATGTATAATTCCAGATAGGATTGCTTGGCAGATTAAAGAAGTTTTGCTGCCATCTCCGGTCTCCATTCTCAAGATTGATGATGGGCTCTATACCATTTATTCTGCTGAAAGGGTTAAGAGGGATTCTGGAGAAGACCTCTACATCCTGTCAATGCATGTAAAGGACAACCTGAATTGTATTAAGAGAGTATGGTGTCCTATTTCTTTTAGAAAACTGCTTACACAATATGTTAACCATGTATCTTTAGAGGATAGAACTTATTATGATCTGTTATCGGATGAACTCATCCAAATTCATTGTAATATTAGTGATGCTGATATGTTTTACTCTGGCCATGAGCTTATGTATTAGATATAAGGCTTTATGTACTAACAACAATACAATTGGAATATGATTTGGACCTGCTATTAATCAATAAAAACTTCTTTAATCTGCCAAGCAATCCTATCTGGAATTATACATGACTTGAATTAGTTTTATATGTACCACCAGTTGTCATTGGTAAAGGAGTAGGAATATAACTACTCAAATTAGTTGTATGCCAAGTTTCTCTGTATTCATCCAAATAGAATTTAACGGCTAAAGAAGTCTCTAGCTCAATAGCACAATGTTGTTTTAGTTCTGGCATATCCGGTCGTTTTATAATAGTCATAAATGTAGTTGGACTTGAAGTCCTGGGATCTATCCAATCATGGGCAGTTCCCGTAAAGTTATCATTATCCCAATTATGAGTCTTATATCCTATGGCACTTTTATCATTAGCTGGATCACAAGTTGGTAGTAGTCTTGCTAATATATGTCCTGATACATTCTTTCTCTGGAGGTCTGATGCATCAGGCTTATAATATCGAGACTTTACTAAAACATCCTTATTATAAAAGTCACCAGGAACCTTAATAGCTGGCTTCCATCTTGCAATTACATTATACTTGTCACCTATTAGAGCAACCTCTTCCATTACAGCAGCATCTACATTTTTATCCTCAACTGGTACATTATCAGTAGGTAGAGTACACTCAGTAACATCAAGTGTATTTCCAATATAGATCTTAATATCACCATGTTGTTTCTTAATTTCAGTAGCCTCACCAACTTTAATCTCAGTAGAATGCTGACCCTCTACAAACTTAATTCTCCAACTTGCATTTATGATCTGTGCCTTCTTACTTAGAGTACATAAATGATTATATTGGTTAACCTCAGTACTACTTGATGGAAAGTAAAAATCTATAGGTAAATCATGAATATAATATACTTTTCCATCATCTATAGTAAAGTAATATTTGTTAGTAAATACAGATGGTAACTTTTTTCTTAGGTTACTCTTGATCACTAAAACTTCACTCTCAGCTGACTTTAAAGGATTCTTGAAGATGGCCTTATCAAATGTAATTCCCATTGAGTTACCAATTGACTCAACTGAAAGAGATATATTATATAATTAATATATATACATAACAACTAGATATAGTAATATATAGTATTAAATTTATTTTGGAAGGTGAATTACGGCCAGAGTTCTCTCGTAGAGAATCCCTATCGCGGACTTATACATACACCCAAGTGCACTTATGGAGAGTGATACCAATCTTCATGGATTACTAGAACTTATCAACAAAGAAATAGATAAAGGTAAGTGAAGGAAGTGGAATCGGAATAGAGAGTGAAGTAGTGAGGAAGTGGAAAGGGAATAGAGACTGAAGTTGTGAGGAAGCGGATTAGGAAGTTAGAAATAAAATATGTGATATTATATAATAATAATATAAATACTTAGAGATTTTTTTTTTTTTTTTCTAGGTAGAGATACTGATACCAAGAGGCTAGACCAACTGTGGGACATAGTCTACAACGGTTACCCAGACTTTGAACCCCAACACTTTACACCAAGAGATGGATACTGGGACGAATGTGCACAAATCCCTGAGGGAGAAAGTATTCCATGGCACACAGACCCAAGAAACTATGGATACTACAAAAAACAACAACAATCCAAGGGAGGAACGATCAGTAATCCAGGTGGAGAACCGACAGATTGTGAATCGGACACTACAGACATTGGCGAGGAACTTCCACCTCTACGATCCAGCCAACTACGATCCGAAGACAACGATCCCATACCTACTGAACCAAGCCCATCAACAACTGGACAACGGAACAGCGGACAGTGTTCGCCTAACCCTGAAATGGATACAGAGAGTAGCCAACTATTACCAGAACTATGTAGATCACCCTCATCACGGAACAATAACACAAACAAGACCTTGGATCAGGTTTGTTCAGGACAAGATACCAGGACTGATAAGGGCAGTGGACGAATTGAGAGAGTACGGAAAGACACTACAAGGATGGAAAGGCAGCCTGGACAGGATATCAGCAACATGGAATTACCTAAAACAACATTCAAGGTACGGAGCCTGGGGAAACCTAGAACACCTAGACAAGGAACTCCACATGGTGGAAGTACCGAGGGAAGACCAGGTGAAAAGACCCCTAGTCCCGGAAGACAATACCGAAACACCGGTGGCAAAGAGAACTCGCCTACAACAAGAAAGGAGACGGAACCAACAATCACCAGAAAGAGAAAGAGACCAGAACTCTGGACAGGAGGAGAGTCAGGAAATCAGCCTCGAACAGCAAGGAGAAGAATTAAATTTCCATTACGCAGCCCAACAGAACGTGAGACTGGACAATCAAGCGATGATGAATGGCAGATACTACTCAATACAGTACCCAGTTACCAACCTCCAGGAGAACATAATATCAGATCTGAAGGAAGAGATGATGACTTTGACAATGAACAATATACCAGAGCCACTCTATCTACTACACCCGAGTGTACTTCTCCACCTCTCATCATCCTCGACGACGATAACACTGATGAACAGTGCATCCAGGATAATAAGAGAGAACTTTATACAGAACCTAATGAACTGGAGCCAGAGACACAATCTGATACCAACGAAATTGAAGAAATATATATTCAATCAAGTGGAGAATCTGTACCACCTCAGACAGGAGAACCTACAAGAAGACATGAGGACAATAATACTAGGAAGACAGGACGACTCAAGATCATTACTGATGAACGATCAATCACAATGGCACCTAGGAAAAAGAAGATTCCAGCTATTTATACAAGGTCAGATATCAGACGACAGGAGGAAGATATTCCAACTACGAGCAAAGAATGCACCAGCAGCTCGAAAACTGTACTTCATGAACAAGGCAAGGACAAAGAGAAGGCTAGACCATTAACAGAAGAAGAACATGATATGGTCTACAAATTTGTAAGCATTATTGAAAGAAACAACATCAAATTTAAGGACTTCATTGCTAAGTTCTGCTATGTATTCAACGGACTGAATTCAAAAATCCACGGTTTCGTCATCCAGGGTGTGAGTAATGCAGGAAAGTCGTTGGTGGCAAAGATCCTGTTACACAATCTCCACCCAACAAAGATTACAAAGAACTCGAGCGGGAACAACTTTAGATTCTCGAGGTTGCCAGATAGCAATTGTGTCTTGTGGGAAGAAGCCAGTATACCATCAACTGAGGTAGACCTTTGGAAATCCATATTAGGAGGAGAAGCAATGGAGACTGACGTCAAGCACCAAGATCATCAGGAAATACCCAACATTCCTTGGATTATAACAACAAACAGAGAAATAACAGAACGTCTTGAGGGAGAAGACAGAGCCAGTATCTTGAACCGGATCTTCAAGTTTGAATTTAAAAGAGTATTGGCAACTCAAGACACCGAGCCCTATATAAACGAGGAGGTGGTCCAACGGTTCTTACTCCTGAACGCGGATCGTCTGACTCAACTAGTGAACAAAGTGAAACCCCACGGACTTCAGGATGGCTTACCAGACTCCACCTTACACCCCCAACAAGAGAGACATCCTCCCAGACGAGACATCTTCTAGAAAGAGGAGAGCTGTAGGAGATGCCGAAAATAATGAAGGAACAGGTAATTATTAGTTACTTTTATTTATTATTTATATAGTTATATATATATTACTATATCTAGTTGTTATGTATATAAATTAATTATATAATATATCTCTTTCAGTTGAGTCAATTGGTAACTCAATGGGAATTACATTTGATAAGGCCATCTTCAAGAATCCTTTAAAGTCAGCTGAGAGTGAAGTTTTAGTGATCAAGAGTAACCTAAGAAAAAAGTTACCATCTGTATTTACTAACAAATATTACTTTACTATAGATGATGGAAAAGTATATTATATTCATGATTTACCTATAGATTTTTACTTTCCATCAAGTAGTACTGAGGTTAACCAATATAATCATTTATGTACTCTAAGTAAGAAGGCACAGATCATAAATGCAAGTTGGAGAATTAAGTTTGTAGAGGGTCAGCATTCTACTGAGATTAAAGTTGGTGAGGCTACTGAAATTAAGAAACAACATGGTGATATTAAGATCTATATTGGAAATACACTTGATGTTACTGAGTGTACTCTACCTACTGATAATGTACCAGTTGAGGATAAAAATGTAGATGCTGCTGTAATGGAAGAGGTTGCTCTAACAGGTGACAAGTATAATGTAATTGCAAGATGGAAGCCAGCTATTAAGGTTCCTGGTGACTTTTATAATAAGGATGTTTTAGTAAAGTCTCGATATTATAAGCCTGATGCATCAGACCTCCAGAGAAAGAATGTATCAGGACATATATTAGCAAGACTACTACCAACTTGTGATCCAGCTAATGATAAAAGTGCCATAGGATATAAGACTCATAATTGGGATAATGATAACTTTACGGGAACTGCCCAAGATTGGATGGATCCCAGGACTTCAAGTCCAACTACATTTATGACTATTATAAAACGACCGGATATGCCAGAACTAAAACAACATTGTGCTATTGAGCTAGAGACTTCTTTAGCCGTTAAATTCTATTTGGATGAATACAGAGAAACTTGGCATACAACTAATTTGAGTAGTTATATTCCTACTCCTTTACCAATGACAACTGGTGGTACATATAAAACTAATCCAAGTCATGTATAATTCCAGATAGGATTGCTTGGCAGATTGAAGAAGTTTTTATTGATTAATAGCAGGTCCAAATCATATTCCAATTGTATTGTTGTTAGTACATAAAGCCTTATATCTAATACATAAGCTCATGGCCAGAGTAAAACATATCAGCATCACTAATATTACAATGAATTTGGATGAGTTCATCCGATAACAGATCATAATAAGTTCTATCCTCTAAAGATACATGGTTAACATATTGTGTAAGCAGTTTTCTAAAAGAAATAGGACACCATACTCTCTTAATACAATTCAGGTTGTCCTTTACATGCATTGACAGGATG